CCCTTCCACACACTTCCAGATAGTTCCTGCAATTAAGGGTTCTGCTACCTTTTCTGGCAGGAAAAATTCTCTAGGATCTAATCGAAAAACCCGGAAAAAAAGCATGATTTCAAACAACAAGACCATTCTGGACAGAATTTTCTGAGGTGAGACAACGGCTTACCTGAAGCACGTACGGTTCACGGCAAACACAACCTGCTGAACAAAGACCAGCGTCACATCGTCCCAGAGGGTTTGTGCACGATCGAGCGCATCTAAAATAGAGGGTATCCAAAAGTCGTTTGAGCTTTTCTTCTTTTACTGATATTTAGATTTGAAGAGACTAACCCTAGTGCTCCACAACTTGTCCATTCTTTTCTTGGATCGGCGCATGTGCCAGATGGCGACGTGGTGCGGGGGCAGTGCAACGGCAGCACACAACCAGACTGTGGGTCCTGAATGGGAGGAGGCTATAGCATTCAGGACTGGTTCAAAGGGACAGTTTCACACCTTGGCATCCACAAGAATATAAGGAGACCGGCAAAAGCAGCCAGACACACATGCAAGACTACAAGTTGCTGACGGACTGAGATCGTTGCACCCGACTGAAAAACAAGACTGTGACATCATAAAAGTATCCGAGCGAATCTTTTTGATATGAAGAATAGATGAATTAATGAACGAATGAATGATAGTGTTAACTTACTGCTGCATTCATACAAATTTCAATGAAAGCTCTAATCTGAGGCTAATCAGTTGCACCTAGAAGCACACTAGGAAAACCTACCAGGACACTTTGTTCCACAGTTGAGATAGTTCTTCAGTGGATCACTACAGCGATTTGTATCTGGAAGTACAGTGGCCGTACCGGGTGTCGGATAGAACTCGGTGATCGTTTTCTGAAGCCAAAAATGTAGCACTACATTTCAATGAGAGTTGAAAAGAGATAAGATTTCAGAGCACATTTCTGTCAGAGATTAAAAGGCACTTCTAATTGTCTTTATTATTTATTCTTCTAGTTAGAAGCGCATATGTACATAAATTGCGGCTGTTGACATTGCTTGGCGGAACGATGCCTAACACATAGTGTGACAATTTTGCGCATTATCAGCATAAATATAACATCATTATTTCACGGTGATCGCGATCGGATCCGTTACGTATTGGATTTCGAGAGGGGCCAGACGAGCACCAAGACGACTGCTGGTTCGCGATCAGACTCCTTCATAGAAATTCTGCACAAACGAAGAAAAATAACGTTAGTCCGTTCAGAGATGAGGAATTTTTGTAGAGCTCTGGCTCGCAACAGGGACTGATAGGAAATTTGGCATCTCCTGCTCGGGAAATTAAATTCTATGAGCAACAGAAAATGGGTGGGACTTGAGGCCACCACAATTCCTTCAAATCAGTTGGTTTGTGTGCGAAAGAAGCTCTATAAACAGCAGAAAACCATGTGCTTTCAATGACACCATGATTGCAAAAGTTTCAAGCAGGTTGATTCACCGACAGAAAAGTGAATCAAACTCGAAGATATTTACAAAAATGTGCATGGCCACCAGAACTACACCATTCAAGAACCGCTTTCCAAAATAAATGTTGTAAAATACGTACCTTGTTTTGCACAGGAGATATAGGCGTTAGCACTGGACTTTGCCGTAATGTAGGTGTGATTGGAGGACATTGTGAGGGAGTATACATCTGAATTCAATGAATGATCCGTAAAAGCATTTTGTATTCGGTAATTTTCATGGCCAGGCACGAGATATGGAAGCGAGTGACAGCACCGACTATAGGTTCTTCGCCAATTCTGGGCGGGGCATGTTTTGCAGGCGCGCGATCTTTGCTAGCTTGCACATGAAAAGTTATGGCAAAAACCTCACAAGCCCAGGCAACACACTAGACTGTTTCCATACTGTTGTTTCTATCCACACGAACTGTAACCATAGATCGACCCCGAAAGAAATAAATGTTGATAAGCTTGGAAGGATTCGACATGCAACTCGACATTCGGACTATTCGCACGGTGAATGGCCCCAATTCTAACCACACCGTAATCTCCCAATCACCGCACAATCCTACAAAGCAACAGTCCCACAGGGTGGGCGTGGTCTGGAAACGGCTGCAGTCCACTCGGCCGATTCCGACCACGCCCACTTCAGCTCCCTGCCTAGCGGCTTTCCAAGGTGAGTTTTTGTTCAGTCACACTTCTTACGTTCTTGACTAGGGGCTGAACAGCTCCGAAGTGGGAATCGGCCGAGGGGATTGCAGCCGTTTCCGACCACGCCCACCCTGCTGGGACTGTTGCTTAATTTCATTGTCCATAATGCCGCAGACATTATCAGAGCTCAAAAAGTGATAGTAGGATTCCAATAGAACAGACCCCTTGGTAGTGTCCCATCCACTTCACCTTGAAGGCATTGGATGTGAGATAATCAAGCGATTAATGAGAGGAAATGAGCCTGTTATCAAAGGAATTGCCCATCTAATGCCTAAACAGTCCATACATGAGGCGCTTAGCACTGGAAGGGGCGCTCCAGACGACCCTATTTTGCATAGATCGTGCTTTCGCCAACATTCATCGGCTACCCTCCCTTTTCCGCCTATGATTTCTTCCGTCAAGCTTCAGGCTAAACCACTTGAGCAACCTCAACGCCTTCATTGTCGATCACTAAAAAACTCAGCGTTCATGCCTTTGGAGATAATGAAACGTACGGGAATGGAGAGGATTCGTTTGGCCGTCTTCTAGCACGTAACGGGATCGCGGCAAAAAGCACCCAGACACACCAAAACTCTCGGTGACATCTGACCAATAAAGCCGGTCCCTTACAACAATAATTACGAAGTTACGAATTATCACCTGAGCATTTCGAGTCGAACAACTGATCGGACAGGCTGAACCACAGCTGTGGTACTGCCGGCGCTCGTCTAAACATCTCGTTGAGCTGTCGTACATCGCGCAGGCTGCACGTGGAACGCACGCCGAACGTGGAGATCCGTCAGCACGAATGAAACCTTCAAACAACGCTCTTACAGATTTACTACTGCGGAACCTCCGCAAATTTGGAAAAAATACATTACATTTAGTATTTTGAAGCGGCCATAGTTGCATATGAAGGGCTTTTTCGTCCTTGAATGTGTTGTGAGACCTATGCAGCAGAGAGATCAAGCAGAAATGCAAAAATTTGTTATAATTGGAGGGCGAACCACAAGCCCACTGCTCCCACATTTTTTGACTTTCTCAAAGACGCTCGGAAAAAAATGATCTTCATTTTGTACTCCACGTGCTTGTCCCTGGAAAAATGCGAACAAACCTTTTGAAGGAGCGCTCCATGTGCTGAAAGACTCTCCTAGTTGGTTGCGCTAACTTGGAAAGGTACATTTGTCACTAGAAAACCACTAAATCCACGCAAGAAAAGCAGCGAAAGATTACCGATAGCTAATTGCTGGAATCGTGCACCACGCGTTGCTATTATAGATTACGGAATGAGCATAGAAAACTGGGACTTCCTGTCTCTGTCAGTCAATCCTATTCACTCCAAACCAGGCTTTACTACTCTTATCCACCTAGCGTAACCAGAACGCTTATCACGAGATTTGGTGCAAGCTGAAGATGACACACAAGGAAGCTAGGTCGACCATGAGGGAAGTCGGATTCAGGTCAAGAAGTACAAACGCACATCAGCTATCAGGGAAGGTATTCAAATTCCTATGATATTTGAAATGAGAAACCTAGGAATTGGTGCCGCAACCGATTTCGGTCAGCAAAGACTAACCCTAAGTTCTTTTCACAAAAGTGGAGGGTCAACTTTGGGCTAGAATGCAGCAAAAAAAGCAACTTTGCGCCGCATCAGGATCGAAAGGTATGAAGGGTGCGTTGAATTGGAGATGTGGAAGACAAAAACTTGCGATTCGTTACATATATTACAACGGTTACAGAACAGCCCTGATCGAGAGAAGAAAATGTGCATAGGTTTGCACAAGATTGTGTCAGGATGATAAACCGACCCGCGGTGGCAAAAGCTCTCTGAATGAGCTTGCTAGATGAGCAGATACTGAAAAATCTCTTCAGACGGCATAGAAAATGGAGATGAGCAATGGTTAGGTATACAGTAAAATTGATGTGAGCGACACGACCGATTCCTGCAGACAGCGTGCCCCTATGTACGTGAACGAGGTTTTCTTCAAAATCCACGGCTCGGTTGCGAGAAGGCCCGGAGGTCGGGAGAAAATGTGGATCGAGATCGGAGGAGGAGAGAAGGTCAAATGGTATTATTTATAGGTGCTGTGTGAACGGGGTTCGCCATGGGACCTTATGACTCGATTCTAAGACAGCCCACAGGTAGGGAAGAAGTGAATTACATCTGCCGTAGGAAAACAGTTTAAGCGCTACTAGTTGGTCAAGCGAGCACCGAAGGGGTCGAAGCCAGGAGTGAAAATTCACAATTCGATTGTTAGGTTACCCGCAGGGCGGGGGAGGGGAGAACAGAGTGGTAGGTGAAGGGAGGTAGGGTGGAGAGAGAGCAATGTTCATGGTGTGCAAAGCTATATTCGAGAGCTTTGGGCTGTTTTCTTGCTTTTTGTTGCTTGTTTTTTTTTCTCTCTCTCCCAACATGGGTTATACCCAAGTAATAAACAAGTACAACAAGCTTCCATTACCCTGTTCCAAATCGCTGGGGAATCGCGCTGGAGCTTTCCTGTTAGGATTGCTAAGTGTGTTTGGAGGGATAGAAGAAGTCAACTTTTGCAAATAATGCCCTATTTATGCTTCCGATGATGACAAATATGTGCATTCAAAGGAATCAAAGTCTCACTAAACGCACCCTTTCTCACTTTTCAGTGTGGGAGCAAATTAGACACCTACAAATAAATTTGTAGTGCCGCTGAACCTGTAATTTTTGTGAATATTATTCTTGTTGCTTAACTATTCCCCTTCCCCTCGTCTAGCTGTGAGTGCGCTGGAACCAGTCCACACAACTTGACGGGCATCAAACTTGTGGCAATTACTTCATGCGTACAACAAGTTCACCTGCTCATATGTCAAAATACTCACTGACAGCATAACTGCAGAAGGCTGGCCAAATCAAGCCCGATCATTCATAGCAAAACCAGCTAGGTCAGTGTGAAAATGTTCTACTTATTGAATATTCAAGCGATTCGATTTCAAAGTTGGGTAAACCTCACTATATCGCTA